AAAGTTAGGTAATAACTTATCAATAATAATTGACTTATGCTCCCTCTCAAATATGCCCATAACATTAATAAAAACATTAACATATTTAAAAATTACTAAAAATGTCGATTTTTTTCTACTTTCTTTGCTCATAACTTTAAAACTATTAATTTTGGTGAAAAGTCGTACATAAATAAAACAAAGATAATTAAATTTCCTATGATATACAAATAGTTAAAAATGTCTTCCAACCATTTAGGTTGTAATTAGGTCCTTCGTAATTGGTTTAGAAAATGTTTATAATCTATTTAAACCGTCCACCAAATTTGAAATTTTTTAAAAACTTTTAGAATGAACATTAGACCATTTAGATGTTTGCAATTTTTTTTAAATATAAAGATGCACTCTACCGATCAAATACACTTTACAGAATTGAAATCATATTATTTAGGCAGTCTCAGCAATGTTTTAAAGTTATAAACAATTTTTTGGCTTATTAACAAATAGAATATTAAAAAAACGATACTGGAACAGACTCGGTAAAACGCTTCTTGTAAAAGAAAAAAAGTTGAATTGCGAGGAGAAGTTCCTGAGATACAACCGGTATTTGCGACGAAGCTATAAACACTAGTATGGTACTTTTTGAACCATTACTTTATTTTTCGATTCTCTTTCTCTATACATTTTTTCGTTTTTCGTATGTTCAAAACACTCATAAAGGCCGTATGACACTATGCATTTTCTTGTATCATTTCTTATATCGTTTCTGATATAACAAAAAAATGGATAGTGTCATACAAGCGTATAGTTTTTTATATCAGAAACGATACAAGAATTTGTGTCCGCTGCATTTTCTTGTACAAGAAATGCGCCAATTTGTGCGCAAAGCCGCAAAAACGTAAAACTTCTGTCATATTGGCGGCTGGAGGCCTGGAGGAGAACTTTGATATACAATTAGACCAAGCAGACATCAGAGAAAAGTGCCCACCAACAATAACCAAGATTAGAACATCAGTAGCCAGTCAAAATTTCGACCAATCATGTGCCAAATCACATACAATTTCTGGTAAAACAACTTGCATAGTGTCATACAGGGCAAAAATGTACGTGCAAGAAACGATACAAGAAAACATAAATAACTTTCTATATCAGAAACGATATAAGAAATGATACAAGCAAATGCATAGTGTCATACGGCCTTTACATATTATAATAATAAAAATAATGTTTGTTGCATATATTTAAGTTTGTATTACAGATGGTAAGAGAATAAGAGAAAATAAAAGAAGAAGAGAACCCCAACCGCCTGATGGCACAGGGCAATGCAAAAAATGCAATGATGGCCCATTGGCGATGGCAGAAGATTAAGGTTAAGATTCGTAGTTTTTAGTATTGTCACAGTATAAATGTATTGTATTGTATGGTATTGTACTTACATACATATTAAAATAAAGTAGTTTCATGTAATATATATTTCATTCTATACTACATACACAATACACAACAATTCTCGACGAGGATTAATAAATTTTTACTTTTGCAACTGCCAGTACATTACAAATTCATTCTACTTCTACATTTACAGTGGAATATTCTGTGGTCAACTGTAGTGAAATCTTTTAATGAATCAGTTACAAAATGGTCACGATGGGTGAAACTCCTAGAAGGATCTTTTAAAGTGTTTGAAATAGATCAAAATATGAAATGATCTTATTTATTACTTGCTATTACATTATATGTGTCCTGAAGTCTATGATATAATATGTGACAAAACATACAATGAAGTTAATACACTAATGGACAATTTTTACAATCCTGTCCCTTTGGAAGTTGCTGAAATTTACAGGTTTCAAACCAGAAAGCAAGCCGAGGGAGAATCAGTGCAAGAATTCTTACTAGCATTACAGAAGACAGCAATAAATTCAATAAATTTTTTACAATCTAATAAATCTAGATTTCATTGCTCAAAATATTTAAAACTTTATAATATTACACAAATACAAATATTACATTCTAGTTCAGACACTAACAGGTATGTTATCGTTGTGGAGATGCTTCTCATTTAGCCACTCAATGTAAAAAAAAATTGGTATGTAATTTTTGTAAGAAAAGAGGACAAAAGATAAATTTGTTTACTCAGTTGCTGTAGTTTTGCGCGTGAAGGGGAGACATCCAATGATGTCTCACCTTATTCTACTTTGGTTTAGTTCTGAAGAAGACATCATTGGATGTCTCCCCTTCACGCGCAAAACCTGTAATCACATTTACTTAATACTCTTTTTTTGATGTAGATTGTAAATAAACATAATTATAAAAAAAAAAAAAAAGTTGCTGTAGTAAATATTATTAACAAAAATGAATTTAATGAGAATTTTACCGAATTACAATTACAAAATACTAATACAAAGTTAACTACTTACTTTAAAATTGAATTACATGTTTTAGGTATGGTTTTAGAATGTATTTAATGAGAATTTTACTGAATTACAATTACAAAATACTAATACAAAGTTAACTACTTACTTTAAAAATGAATTACATGTTTTAGGTATGGCTTTGGTGACAGTTGAGCACCAGATTAGAACTAAATCCTTGAAATTATATATAGTTGATGGTAAAGGCCCCCCATTGCTTGGGAGAGAGTGGATACATTTATTAGATATAAATTTACATAATGTGAACACTGTCTCAATTGCAGAAAAGGAGTTACAACAATTGTTTACAAAATATAAAAATTTATTTGACAAATCTATTAGACAATTTCTGATACCAAAGTTACACCTACCTTACGTAGTACTTCAAGAATATGTAAACCTATTGTAAAAATGAATTTGTAAAAATATCGTTGTTAAGGGAGAAAATGTTGATGTATAGACATATTTAAGTTTGTATTACTTACAGATTGTAAAAGAAAAGAAAAGGAGAGAACCGCATAGCAGAAGGTTAAGAATAATAGTTTTTAGTATTGTACATATATATTAAAATAAAGTAGTTTTCAAGTAATATATATTTTATTCTACACTAAATACACAGTACACAACAAAAACAATCGGTATTGAGCGATAATTTGGTATAAAAGTACCAAAAATTTAAAAAGAAAATAGGTTGAAGTAAGTTTAATTTCAAAGTTCAAAATCGGTATACATAAAAAAAATGCATTTTCTCAGCTTTAAATGGAGCAATTTTCTTCATTTTTTTTTAATCCGAAGTAACTTGAGTAGAGCCAGCTAAATAGCGCATTATCAAGTTCCAAATATGTTTTATTTTATTACAATAAATAAAAAAAAATTTCTAACTAACGTACATCTACCTAACTTCGCACTTCTAAATGCCAAAAAGGCTTTAGTTTTGTTGTAATAAATAAATTTATTTATAACAAAATAAAACCACATAGGTATTTCTTACTACGTTGTAGAATTTTTTTTAGAAAAACTTACCACATGTGCACCTTTTAATGTTACAAATAGAAATATTTAGAGACCATTTAAAAGATTATTTAATAAAACAAATAATGTTTAACTAATTTATACAGCTTTCAAATAAGACAAGTTGCATTTAGGGTCTACAACATAGAAAAAAATAAGTTGTTATATTTTGTTAATTTATTTATAACAGCATTAAAGCATTTAGGATTAATGGATTGAAGGAAATGATTAATGGTATTTATTGCTATTTTGCATCAAGGGTAATAAATTAAGACATTTTTAACCTCTATTCGTATAATAGGAAATAATTATCTTTATTTTATTTTTGTACGACTTTGCTCCAAAATGAATGGTTTTAAAGTTTTAAGCAAAGAAAATAGAAAACAAATCGATATTTTCAGTAATTTTTAAAGCTTTTTATCTTCTAATTAATTTCCTAATTCAGACATAATATATTTTTGGGTTGCACGTTATGTTTACTATATAATTTTGACTAACCTATATTTACTTACTTAAAATTGATTTGCTTCAAGAATTTATATAATAATGAACGACACATATTGGGAAGATCTGGGCGGTTGTTTACTGCACTTAAAATTTTATTTAATGTAGGCATTTCATTCTTAAAAAAGAAGCTATGTACTATCTGGCGTACGGATGATTTAACTTTTTCATCATATGTTGCAAGGATGGAAGGTCGACCGCCAATATTTTTAGGACATCTTAGTGTTCCAGTCTGCTTATACTCTTTTATTGTGCGGTAAATAGTTGAATTCGCAACACCTAAAATTAACACATTACTTTAGTAAGTCTTGATTTTAACAATAAGTATTCTGTAAAACTAACCTGTTGCCTGTTTAATTTTTGCTACCGTAGCTGTTATTTTTAATTCAGAATTATCAATTTTGATTTGTTTATACATGTTTATAATGCATTGCTTCTCATTTGAAGATAAATGACCCAAATCTACTCTGCGTTTTTTAGGTGGAGAAGAATAATTAACACTAGAGCTTGGCATTGAATCCATATTGTAATCTTAATAACACTAATATGTCACTAAATAGTTCTGAAAAGAACTGTTTTTTATATAAATGCAAACGAAAAATCTAAAAAATCAAAAGAATAACTCAGAAAATGAAAAAAATCGTCGATATAAATTTTGAATTTTAAAATTTCACAAATGTCATTAGTGTCAATATGTCATAATTTAGTGGGGTAAACTTGCCTGCGATTAGACCAATTACAAACAAGCATTATGGCGCGGAAAATTTGAATTACTCCTCCTGGTTTAAAAACAGACCATAGTGGTAAATTTTATGCAATATTGACAACTAAAAACTATACTACAAAGCTATAAGTCTTTAGTTAATCTTTTTTATATTGTACCTTATTAGTACCTTCAAGTTCTACTTTTTTCTAACGAATATGCGTAAGATTTATTTTTGGTATTCTTAATTAACCGCCGCCTATTTTGACCACTGTTGCTAAAGCTTTCAAAAATGCACAAATTACACATTAGAGACTAGAAACATCTTCAAAGGTAGTATGTATACTATTGCATAGCAAAGAATGTAAGTCTAATGAAAGGCTTTCTTATGGTGGTTGTTAAATTAAATTTATTTTAAATTAATACATATGAACGGAACTACAACAAGAAAAGTCAAAAAAGAAAAAATACACATTTTCAATCCTTTGTTCACGTTATTTTAAACACACTATACAACTATAAACGTGTTAAATGCGGGAAACGGAATTTTAATGCCTAAAACAAAAAAGCAGCATTTAACTTTGTCAGCGCTTATATATATATATATATATATATATATATATATATATATATATATATATATATTATATATATATATATATTTAAATTGCTAAAAATAAAAAAAAGTAGAAGAAAAATTTAGACTAAAATAAATATTTTCATCATCGATTTTGTGTAACGTGTGTGTGTAGAGGAAACGGATGGCCTTAGACATAGTCTATTAGCCACAGGATTCATTTTTATTCATTCACATATACGTAGATATTAGGTGCTTATAAGGTTAAATATCGATTTTAGTTTCTTTAACGTAATTTATTATTGCTTCTAAAACGCATTTATTATGGCTTGGTAACAGAGAACCAATGTTGAGAGGGAGTGGAGTGTTGTATTATATTAGACAATTCTATAGTCACTTTTACACTCCAGAAATATGTGGTTAACATCACCTATGGGCATGTTGTCACAGTCACATAAAGGGGAGTTTAGTATCCCTAATTTATGAAGGTGCGCTGGAAAACGGCCATGATTCAATTTTAAGCGTGTTACTGTTGAAGTATATCTTTTTATATAATCAAAAGTTATGCTCGGTATTCTATTTGGAAGCTGTGGGTAAAGCTGGAAATAAATATTTTTCGATGTCTTGCAAAATTATTGTAAGCTTCTGACCATCTGACTTTAATAGCCTTTTTTAATTTAGTAGTTAAGTCGGTATAAGAAAAAATTTCTACAAATTTATCTGATTCACAAGCTTCTTTTGCTTCACAATCCACCCTTTCGTTACCTATAATACTGCTGTGACCCTTTACCCAAATGAGAATTATTTTCGTATTTTGTTGATTTACTTAGTATAATAGGTTTTTTATTTCACAAACTAATTCTTGATTATAAATATTTATTGGAGATCCTTTAATTGCTTGCAGAACGGACTTTGAATCTGACATAATAGAAACCGTTTGAACTGGATTTCGTGTGCACCATAGTAGGCTTTTTTTATCGCGATATACTCAGCACTGTAAATAGAGAGTGTATCTGCTAGTCTAAATTTTTCGACATGGTTGATGTCTCAAAAAAAATGCTGAACCTGTTCCATTCTCACATTTGGACCCATCTGTAAATATTTTAGTAACATTTTTTCCAAAAGAATTCAATGTGGTTGAGAGTATTAGGTTATTTAAATTAGCATATTTTCTGTATTTGTGTAACGTGAAACATATGAATTTGAAAACTCGAATATAGCAGATATATCTATTATATGTTCAAATTTTAGGATATGGTAGAAACTATGTGAGGGAAAATAAGAAAAAAGGGGACTACCGTACTTTGTCTTCATCCTTCTTTCGATAAGTGTCAAAGAGTTTATGAATGTCTGCAGACAAGTATACAACGCTCTATACATCTTTTCGCCATCTTTCTCTACCCTTGTTTGGTTTAGCATTATAGTTAATAGGGATGAACCATACGTCGAATTAGCCAATGCAGTAATGAGCAACGATTGTTTATTATTGTGTTCCATCTCAGAAATTCTTACATCCTAGAAATTTAAATTATTATTTTAAAAATGGTCTTAAATATTTCAAGAAAAAATTAAACTTTATTAAATGATAGAGATAATTAAATTTGTATAGCTAGTTCACGAATTTGTATGTGTTTTGGATTATCGCTAGACACTCGACAGCCAATGGTCCACTCAACTGCACTGCATAAGAAGTACGAAAGTAAATTGCTCTAGTAATGAAAATATGAAACAAGTAATTTCTAAATTTAATTTAAAAAACTGTTATATTTATATCTTCTTAACCTATACAAAAAATCGTGCTCTGTGTCTGCCTCTCCTTCTCACTCCATATATTCTTTGGTTATAAATATAATTTGGCGGCTCCATCTCATTCATTCTCTCCAACATCTATATGTGCGATAAAATCGCATCACACTTTCCATCATACTATCGCTGAACGTTGCAAAGAAACTTATATAAATAAAAAAGGCTGAACCCTCCCTTTTACGAGAAAATCAGACTTTCTCTCTCCATAATATTTAATTTCTAAAATTTTTTGATCAGACAAATACAGTCACACTCCCCACAGGACCTTTCCTCCTGCAATATGTATTCTAACTCTTTCTAAATACAAAAACTTGAGACCCCACATGCAACAATTATTCAATCATTGTACAACATACTTGGTTCTTTTCCAGATCATTGTGATATCTATACAGATTCATCAAAAACTATTGATGGTGTGGAATCGGCAGTTATAACTCCGAACATTGTATTACAGTTTAAATTATCTTCCAGTTGCAATATTTACTCTGGAGAACTACGTATACTCAATTTTGCAAGCGTTCATTTATATATAAGTGCCCAAAAAATTCCAAATTCTGTCATAATTACCGACTCTCTTAGTGCATTACATACGATAGAACAGTTATATGCAAGTAATCCCATAGGTATTTTAATAAAAGAACAATTACATTTGTTAAACAATGCGAGGCAGCAAGTACGCTTTATAAAGCTTCCATCATAGATTGGACTTCAAGGAAACGAACAAACATATTTTCATGCCAGGGAAGCAATACACAGTGCCCTTTTAGTGTTAGTGAACTTAGTGTCTGTTTCCGATTACAAATCGTTCATTGAAGAAAAAGTGACAAATTAATGGAAAAACTAATGGAATCTTTCACAATCGACTCTACACATCGTAAAGCCCTGAACCGAATCTTAGTGCGAGATAAATTTAAATCGCCAGCTGTTTGATAAGCTAACCCGATTACGTATAGGTCATAGCAGACTAACATAGCTACTTAATCTCCAAATCAAATCGCCCTATTTGTGACTTATGTAACTGCGACATTAATGTAGAACATATCTTAATAGAGTGTCCTAAATATATCAGTGAAAGACAAAAACTCTCACTACTTAACAATATAAAAGCAGACTTAGGAGCACATTGTAAATTTACAATATGTTTAACTACCTGAAAAATATTAATGTTTTAAACAAACTATAACTATTAATGTTGTATTAACCCTAATTAGAAATTGTAAAATATGACATTCTAACCTTATCGTAAACCTAGCAATTAATTAAAATTACTGTTATATATACATATATATATATATATATATATATTATATATATATATATATATATATATATATATATTATATATTATATATATATTATATATATATATATTATAATATTATATAACTGCTTGCGTTTTGCCAAGTCGTTGTCCTGATTTTCTGCACACTTATACAAAGCACATAGACTTAGGAGGCCAACAGAATTATTTTTAGCTTTTCATCTTTTCTAAGAAGTCTTCGAAGTACCAAAAAACAAACACCAAATTCGTATTTTTTTATCTTAAGCTCTAGTTTCAAAAGTCCTCTGATTATAAAATATAAAGATCAAAATATACAGATAAAAGATTTAAAAAAAAACTCATAATTTACTTACCTCCGTCTTATCAGGCTCTATAATATTTTGTTGTTGATTTGTGTATTTCAAAACGGGATCATTTTCATTAATAGCGTTATGGTAAGCATGAATCCACGGATAATTCCTTATAGGAGTAAGTACTGGTACTGTAGAAAAATGTAAGGGAACACCTTGATTGTTAGATGGAACAGTAATAGTGGTAATAGTAGGCTTAGTAACAGTAATAGTAGGTTTAGTGATGGCAAGAGTATTTTTTAAAACAACAGTTTTTGGAACTGTAGTTAAATGACTTGAAATTTTAGTAGGAGCTAAAATCATGTTTGTGGAAATAGATTGTGTCAATGGAATTTTAGATAGAGTAGAAATTGTTTTAGGTTTAATGCCGGCAAAAGTTGTTTTTAAAGCAACTGTTTTTGGAACTGTAGATAAATCGTCTGAACCAGACCTCACAACAATGTTTTTGGGTATCTTTAAAAACATGTTAACATTTCCAGTTTTTCTTTGTAATAAAATCTTTGGCGCCTTGTTAAGTTTTATGGTAGATGGAGTAATAGAAGGGGCTGTTTTGGCTATAGGTAATACACTCCCTGATTTTCTATCTGTAAGTGAATAAAAAACTTCAACTGAAACTGAAAAACTTGAAAATATGTCCATAAATTTAAAGATAATATAGCCTTATTTATCGTATTAAAAACACAAACCTGTATGTTCTGAAAAAATATTTACACAAAGAATATGTTCGTTTTTGAGGAATTGAGGACAGTAAATAAGAAATTAGTTGTACTTCAGATCAGAGATTAGCTTAATTTGTTTAAAATATACCTAAAATATATTCGTAATGGTTTTGAGCCAAGAAAAGTAATTGTAAAAATAATAAGCATAAGTTAACAAAACTTAACACGTATAGATTTGTGTTTAAATAAAAATTTAATTGTTTGTAAAATTTATTCTTAAAAGATATTATTTATAACTATAATACAGAAATATTTAAGTTACCTCTTATTTCATAACCTTCGCTACTAATAATAACAAGATAAATGTTACATTTTGCGTAATAAATATTTATTTTAAATTGTTTAAACAAAATACTTGGTTAAATAAACAATTCACAAATTAACTAATTGCATTTTTTATAATATATGCAACAAGGTACCCCAAATAAAAAAAACATAATTTTTTGTCGATTAGATTCGGACATATTGCGCCTTTGAATTTATGACTTCAATTTTTGAAATAATAAAATCGATAAATAAAAAAAGGGGTAACTCGGGTTCTAACGGTCGCAGGACATTTTGTTTAAATTAATGTAAAAATGACAACATTTTGAAATTAACTTCCTACATGTTAAGGTGCGTGTGAATATTTTAAATGTGTATAAGCTTAAAATCACAGTACATTTGTAATCTTATTTTACAGTATTTAACAAACTTTTGAATCATTAAATTATTTAATTTGATAATATCAACATTTTAAAATTCTTGAAATTTCTTAAAATTCTTTATTTTTTTTTAATTTAACACATAAATATGTCTATGTGAGTATGATTTGCATTCTCGGTATCCTTTACATTCCAAATTCTTTTTAGAAGTTCCCTGTATTTTATACATTTTCTCTGATTTTTCCCTTTTCTTATTCTGAAAACCAGCTAGTGCGCTGTAATCTTGTTAAATTGTCTTTTCATTAGACGGCCGTAAGACCTACAGCATTTCATTAGAAAAAAGTTGGGTGTTACTTCTTATCCCCCTGTAGGAGTAAAATACAAAATCATCTTAAAATGTGGCAAACTTCAAAAAACAACGACGTGTCTCAGGAATTTTACAATAAAAATGTTGTTATTTTTTATATAATTCATTTAATTAAAGTCACCACCCTCTATGTATAAGAGCTGTTTAATCAAAACAAACTAGTCTTAATAGCAACATTCAAGACCCTTCAGATAAAATCGACCATATTACTTTCTCTAATTACATCCTACTTATTCAAGATATAAATAATGGTTCTAGAACAGTGATTCAGATAAAATTTTACAAGAGGAGATATCGTTCTTTTTGTTTTAGTTAAAAAGTCTTGAATATGACCTGAATGTCTACCTACTGTCTTGATGACTTGCATCTTGAGAACTGGAACGATATTTTGAAAGAATCATCTATAAAATAATACAGTTTCGTTTTATTATACCCATATAAACTATTTAATATAATAAAAAAATGTACACCGAGAAAAGCCTGCATTAAAATTTTTTGGGAAAAAAATATATTAATCAATCAAAAAGACTGATATTTTTTGTACACACTTATGACAAGTCCAAAGAAAATGCAAAAAAGTATTTTTGAAGTGTGTATATTTTAGGCAATTCCTAGCTGAGCGCTTTCGGCTTTACAAAGCCATCATCAGAGCTATGCTACAATAAAATGTTCTTATAAGTACTAATTGGTAAAGATTGTAATTTTTAACTTACGTCAATTTTTTAAATACCACTACAAAGGAGAGATCTCATTTCCTTAAATTTCAAAATTATGATTTTGTAGGTGTTGAAATTCTTAAAACATATAAAAAAACATATAAAAAGCCGACACTGGACTTCACAAACACGTTAAAAAATTGAAAAAATTTTGTCATGGTACGGGTTTAAGAACCCGACCATTGATTGATGTGAGGACGTAGACTGAATAGAACTAATGAAATCAAATATCGGTCCTTTTAAACGATTTTTCAAACGTGACAGGTGACAAATGTCATATATAGGAAATAGAGATTGTTTTTTTAAATTCTTACAAAATTATTTAGTAGTTTGGAATTACTAATAGTCATCAAAGACTTTCTAAAAATTAAGTTTATAAATTAAATTTATGTGTTCATCACATCATGTTTCACATGTGTACACATTAGTTTGTAAATTCACTCAAGTCATTGCTCAAGGTCAATGTATGTTCAATCTGACAGCCATCCTTAAGAAACAAGGGCTCAAATTGTTCAACAACAGGATAAAGAAGAAACATGGTATTAATGTTACGTTATCTGATACTTAAGTGTATTAAGAATTGTATGTCTTGATGGAAAATTGTAAGAACTTTGCATAAAAAATTTTTTTAAGAATGTATTTTCATGTTTCAATTAAGAATAACTGTCAAATGGATTACAAATTGTTGTAAATTTTAATAAAGTTTAAAATTTGTTTAAAAAATATAAAAGTATGAAAAATATATAACAAGATTGCATGAGGTCACCCTTCTTCCTCTAAAGTCTCCCATAATAATTTAAAAAGAGGTTTATAGTTGCAATTGAGGTTGATTTGTGTGTTTAAGCAACAATCAGGGTTTATTTTCATTTCTTTGGATATCTCTAGATCTTCCAAGAGATTCATGAGTCTAAAGTTTTTATTGGGAATGTTGTGTAAAATTTTACTGTTTTCAGAAGGAGAAAATGAATGATTATTAAATTTAATGTGATATCCAAAGTTTGATTTTTCTGGGTTATTGAGGTGTTCTTTGATTCTTTGATTCAGAGTTCTCATTGTTCTACCTACATAAGTCATATTACAGTCACCACAGGACAGCTTGTAAATACCACTTCTGTTTAGTTTGTCAACTTTGTCTTTGGTCTTGCTGAAGATGGACTTGATGTTATATTTGGTTTTAAAGGAGATGTTTAAGTCACTAATTTTATTAACAAGTACTCTTGAAATTTTTTCTGAAATTGGTCTAAGTAAGTTAAGGATCTATATAAAAATATATTAATTTAATGAACCATACTTATCTTTTTACGTATATACCTTTATCCTTTTTCGTTCCTCTGTATATTCCATATTTTAAATGCATGATAGTTTAAGTATTTCTCGGAACATCCTATATATAGTGCCCAGAACTAATAGTATTGTACACTTTAACGCGTACAGAATGCTTGACAGTAATAAAACTCAAGAAAACTACTAATATACCTTGATCTTTTGGTAAGAACACATTTGTAAATAGAAATCGTTTATTAAAAATCGCAAGATCGTTTTTGTTTAGTTATAACTATGAGACATTAGTAGAATTTATCTAGGGGGCTCATTGAGTCCCATGCTCTTCACTTTAATCATGGATGAAATCATCAAAAGCGTTAACAAAATAAGATGATACAGAATGGGAAACAAAAAATATAAAATACGCATATTACGCAATATTGATAGTCCAAGATGACGATAATCTGCAAAGACTGGTTCACCGATTTAACATAAGAGCAAAAGAATTTAATATCACAATCTCATCTCAAAAAATTAAAACAATAGTAGTCAACAAAGAACCAACCAGATGTAAAATAGAACTTAATGGCATCAGTATTGAACAAGTAACGGAAATAAAATACCTGGGAAATACACTGTCTAGCTATGGAGACCTGGACAAAGAAGTGAGAGATCAAGTACAAAAAGCAAATAGACTGGCAGGATGCCTTAATAACACTATATGGCGACACAGACACATTAATACTGACATGAAGTCAAGAATTTATAAAGCCAGTGTAAGACCAATGATGACATATGACTCAGAAACAAGACCCAGCCACAACGCAAAGGCTACTGGAAACAGTAGCAGAGTTGAAAGTACCGAGAAGAATTACAGGAAATACGCTGAGAGATCGAAAGAGAAGTGAAGACATTAGAAGAAAATGTATTGTAGAATGTATAAATGAATGTACACAAAATAAAAAAAAAGAATGGAATAGCCACATAAAAGAATCAAGGAGACCCGTGTTGTCAAACTATTAAGAGATAAGTCATCAAACGGCAAAAAAAGTATCGGACAACCGCGCAAAAGATGGAGTGACAACATTCCATAGAGGTATTAATCCACCAATGAGCAAGCAGAATTGCTTATAAAGAGGAAGAATAATAAGAAGAAACTGCTTCTTCTTCTTAACGAATAGTGTTCTATCTAAAGTTAGCAATCATCAGGACTATGTACCACCTTTCTGAAAAAAGTTGTTCGAATGGTTTCATACCATTACCATAAGTTTTTCAGCTTAACTATTTGTACTACTGAACGCGTCCTCTGTGTTTATTGTTACGTTACAGAATACACATTGCTTTGTTTTCTTATTACCAAACACTTGACGCACTTCTTGCAAGTCTGTTTTTTGTTCTATAGAATTGCAGTATCATCTTCGTATTATATCATATTATTTATATCGGTACTGTAAAGAGTTGTCTTTCTGTTTGCTGGAAGATTTCTTCCTATTACAAGTTGAAGAAAAGAGGAAATAGAATGCACCATGTCTGTCTATTGGTACTTTTGCTTAAAAATACCACGATGCCATTTGATGTTTTCGTAATACCGTATATAAATACCTGAATGTTAAGAAAAGTCTTACCTATGAACACTTGAATGTTGAACAAAGCCTTACTTGTGCCGATTCCATTCTAAAACCGAAAAAACTATGTATTGTCCATTTTTTCTTCTCCTTTGCTGTAAATACGCGCATGGATGATTTTAAAAACATTTATTTTATTTATTTAGCGTATGGACTTTCACAGTACGATAAATATACAAATACAATTACAATAATATACACATATATATTATATATATTATTCAAACACTAAGAATAGTAAAAATAGAATGAATAGAATGAATGACACTAAATATTAATGTCCAATTTACATAGCCATTCAATTGCTTCTGGGGAACATTCCGCAAAGTCCTGGAGGTTTCCACGGTAGGCACGATTCAAGCAGTCTGAAACACAATGGCTTATGGTCTGTCTAGATTCTCCGCAATCGCACTGTGGACTTTCTGCACGACCCCACCTGAACAGCGAATCAGCACATTTACCATGTCCGGTACGTATACGATTAAGCCTTGCCCAAATGGACCGGGGCAGATTTGATCCGATGAAACCTGAGTTGGGGTGGATATCTTAATATAGTTCGATTCTACTGTTGGCATCCATCTTGTTGTCCATTGCCTATGTATATCATAGGAATTACCAATTTTTCGGGCAGATCGTATTGGAGGATTTCTAGATCTCAATCGTTGGTGCTCTTTTGAGATGTCTGGGATATCTTGATGTATTGGTAATTGTACGTTGGCTACAATTTTCTAGTACTCTCTCACTAATGCTGCTGTACGGCGTAGATCTTGTGGAGCAATATTGCTCAGAGTAGGCAGCCATCTCACTGGCGTTGATTTTATTGTTCCAGTGATTATTCTCATGGTTTGGTTAAGTTGGACATCGATTTTGCTTGTATGTGCACTATTTAGCCATACTGGTGCACAATATTCTGCCACTGAAAAAACCAAAGCTAGAGCAGAGGTCCGAAGAGTATCTGCAGAAGCACCCCAAGTTGTTCCAGCAAGTTTTGATATTAAGTTATTTCGTGTTCTTAGTTTACCGGCTGCGTTTGTAAGATGACTTTTGAAGGTGAGTGTTCTATCAAGTGTGACGCCTAGATATTTGGGGTTGTTGTTATGTTTGATAGCTGTGTCATTTAGAGTTACATTGAGAGTATCGCCCGCAAGTTGATTCGATAGGTGAAAGAGACAGGTTTCAGTTTTGCTTGTGTTAGGACGTAAGCGCCAGTTCTTAAAATAGTTACTTAGTGTAGATAAGTCCTCGTTTAGAGCTCGTTCTCCTGCTTCTTTACTATTATCTTGGAATCTTTATATTTTAAAAACATAACTCATGACACTGATTTTGTGGTATTCGCTACAATATTTAGGACCTTTTTTCGTCTTAGGTAGTGTCCAAAATGTAGAATTTAACGAATCTTTGACTGTATGTTCTTCTAGAGATAGTTTTAGTAGTTAGACTTACTTAACCTGTTCATGATACCTTATCAATTATTTTACGGCGAATCCGGTTTTCCTCTCTGGTTGTCTTACCCTATCGTTCTTACTGATAAGTTTATCAGCTCACCCCTAACGTCCTTAAACAGTTTTTGAATATAATTACAAGATTCCTTTTATATAGCTTCTGTATCACGGATAACTTTTTCTTGTTGATCTATTGATAATCCAGTAGATTATATAATCATTCAGCTTCTTTCAACTTTTTATATTTGTTAAAAAAATCGTGATTACCTTCTAGATTTTGGATTTCTTTAATTAATTCAGTAAATGAACATGAAATACGGCGATACTCTGTAATTTTTCGTGACTCCACTTCACTTTTTTCGTTGGTTGCTTTTTATTTTTTAGGGAAGAAAACTGCCCCCATTTAAAAAAATCGTAAAGTTATAAATTATAGTGGTTAGTTGATTTAAATCATCTTTTAATGAAGCGAATGACAGTCAATTAACATTAAACATAATTTAAGATTTGATTTCGGTTTATCCCCTAAATCTCACCCCAGATTAGATATAATCATTGGACAAGACACTGGATAGGACACTTGGATCCAAATATATCGAATTTTTACCATCGAGCTGATTTTATTGAACATTGAATTCGCGCGCTTAACTGACATTTAAAATCGACGGCCGCTTCAATCGTTGTTTGTGAGAGAACGGTTAATTCTACACAAAAAGTACCACATTTTTGTTTAAAATGATCGTAGCTACATTTTTCATTTAAAACATTTTTTTTCTACGGCGGCGTACAGATTCTTGAAAATTGATTTTTTTGCGTTTTTACCCCCTACGTAGGGGGTTTCAGGGTGAAGCCCGGAGGTAAAACAAGTAAACTTTTTTACATCTTTTTTGGGGTCCCAAAACTAAAATTCTCGGCAAAATTCAGTTTGTTTGTATGATTTTTAGAGGTTCAGTGGAATTTTCGGCTCTGACGACTGGAGCACATATGAAATAATTTGATACAAATTTGATACACTTGATAAAAAGAAAATTAGAAAAGCATACTAAATATAAATAATATTTACCTAAAAATGAAGTCTTTGTTTGATCTTCTTTATCATGACTCCATGATGTTGATACTGATTCGCCCAGATTTCGAGGGTTCTGTGTATATTCATTATTTGGAATTTGGCCCGTTTCCCATTCATCTTGTTTTTTAATCGACTTAACTTGCTTTGCTGATTTGACCCCATCATAATTGTCAGGTATAAAATCTGGATCTTGTTTTTCGAGTCTTCGCTTTGTACTTTTACTAGCACAGCATGGACTATACTCTATGTCCATATACATACCATTGCCTTTTATATATTGAATTCGCCTGAAAAGAACTTTATTGTAGAAAAAAGGTGGTACTGTAAGCAGTACAGTAGACTAGTGCGAAGCTTCTTGCTATGTTTTTCATATTTTTAAAATATATATATAATATTTTTAAAATTGGATAAAATAATAATATATCAAAATTATTTAATAAATTATTATCTTTGCTCCTAGAGCCACCTGCTAACTTATCAACAAAGTAAACGTTTTTTACTTCTGACAGACCCGTCAAAGTCAGACTAAATATTAAATTAATTATAAAATATAAATAAATATTACTTGATGGTAAATTTAATTATTTTATAAACTAAATATGTTTAAAAATAAAATAGTTTGAAAGGAATTTTTTAATAACATGATTACGAATTGATGGTGAGTAGTGAATCGATTTGAAGACCGCTATTTCGCGACTGTACACGTGACACCTTCTCGTAGCGCTAGTTCCGTGAGGCTCCCCTCAGCATTTTGCTGTAGAGAAAAAAGGAATAAAACGCCAGTATAGAAGATTCGCTTGAAAAAAAAATTATATTGTGTAAAAACAGGATGACAAGAACTATTATGAGGTTTCAGTTTTCGGCATAATAATAGGACATATAACAAAAATTTAAAAATTAGAGTGAATATTAGAAGGTTATTTGTTAACTTCTGTAATTGAGAAGTATTTATTAAAATACTAATAGCACACCACATATAATTATGAGATTGAACGTAATTGGATTGAACAAAAAACGTAATTAAAGCAGGCCGTGGAATAATCTTTCCGTCTTTGTAGTTAGGTACTTGATATACTTAACTTCTAAATGCCTGATTATCTGATTTCTTTAAAACACAATATTAATGAAAATAAAATAGTCTAAAATACGTTAAAACCCTTTGGTAACAAATATCTACTCGGGAGTTATTTTGTCAGTAGTGCATTAAAATTCATAAACAAATTTATTTAATATCAAATCTCATTTGACTGTCTAAAGCCTATATACGAGAATGCAGTCTGTTTGAAGCACTGTCTACGAAAATGAAGACTGTTTAAAGCACTATCTAAGTGAAATTGTTTGAATTATTTACAATACAGTACAGAACCATGCCCGAACCATCCTGAATCTATACTCTCTCATTTTGGCATTAATTGATGCCACCCATAGACTTCCATTAATAGACTCGTTCTCAACTTTATCCTTTTTTGTGAGTCCAATGATCTATCCAAGCATTCTCAGTTCTATACATAATATGTAGTCTTATAGTAGTTTTATAGAATTCTGTTATACAACACACCGCTCGCTTCCTTCTACTTCATCACTAACACTACTTTATTAGCATACATTAAGAACCAGGGAATGTTACCTTGTAGTATCGGTGTTATATGATTTAACATAAAATAATATTAAAAATGCTTTATCTAAATATTTTTATTTTGTAATTAATTTTGCTGGATAACCAAAAAGCATCTAAAGAAAAAAATTAAAGGTGGTGTTCAATATGACCACCTTGCCGTTGGAAACAGAAATCCATTCTAAATAAAAATGTATCTAACACTTTTCTAATCGTTTCTGGAGAAATTAGTGCAATCTCTTCTGTAATTATTTCTTTTAATTCTTGGATAGTGTGTTGCCTATTTATATACAATTTGCTTTTAAAATATTCCCTTAAAAAATAATCTAGGAGTGTCAAATCCGGGGATATTGTCGGCCATTCGATAGTTCCTTTTCTTCTAACCCAACGATTTGGATATGTATTGTCGAGAATCTCACAAACCCTTAGAAGATAATCAGGATGTGCTTCATCTCGCTGAAACCAAATTGATGGAGGATTTATATCAACAGGAAAGTCTGGCCAATTTTGGACTTAACTCCAATTTTTAAAATACCCAGTATTCTTCATCTAGTATGGTTCTATCTCAAAAATAGGTGCAATAATGGTATTACAAATAATTTCTGTCCACACATTGATCTTTAGTCGATACTGCGTAAGCGCCTCCACCATCCAATGCGGGTTTTCATCTTACTAGTACCTGAAGTTTTGTTTATTAACCGTGCGATTTATAAAGGACAATTTTCAACAGTTCCTGTACCAAGTGTGCTTTATAGCGATGCCATTTTACCTCTCATTTTAATATTTATGAACAGTTGTTTGATTGATGTGATTTTGTTTGCAATTATTCTAGTAGCCTTATAATTATCTTCCAAAATCTACAAAGAAAAATATCAGTTTTTGTTTCCTCTAGACTACCAGGGCGATCAGTTTTTGGGAGATCTCGTACATGTCCACTTTCTTCAATTTTATGAATAATTTTAGATACAGTCCCACGTGTTATGGGCATTGTCTTTATACGTATTATTAAAAATATTTTACATACCTCTTCGTGTGTTCGTGTCATGCAAATAATGTAAAGTAAAAACGTACTCAAATTTCATAATTTTTTTTGTATTATTACGTGTCACCACATCCTTTTAGTACTTAAATTTCAGTTTTTTGACGCTCGGTTAAATGTATTTTAGTCTGATTTTTATCGCTGTTAAGTCTATATTTAAAAACTATCACACGTATCTACTGACAGTAAATCACGACGTATGTACTGACAATAAAACCTATTTAATTTAACGAAATGAAACCGATACTCATACATAACAGAAAGGAATTTTTTAAACTTTAACAAATACCAAGTGCTCCATTTTATTTTTCCTTATATTAATATCGATTGTAATAAAAATGTTTTACTAATTTCTTCATATTAATGGTCACACTTATTGGTCATTAACAGAATATGTGCTGCATCGGCAATAAAAACTGTAATAGACGATTATAAAATATACGGGAGGTCCTATTTAAAAATACGCATATTATCCGTATATCTCATAAACTGTACATTTGGCAACGTCGAAAATATAAAATTTTAAATCGTTGGGCTTGCTAATATACATAACCAACATTTTTTTATTACATTATACGGAGTGTCACATATATCTTTATATTTCCCTACTTTACGCGCTAACTGTATAATATATTAACTTTTACAACTCTTAAGCTTAAGATTAGGGATTATGATAGAGATAATGATTTGTATAAAAGAAAATAAATTTTAGGTCACCGCACCCAGTAAACAAATATCTAAAGATTCAGGCAGTCATGTGAAGAATATTGTTTTATAAGTTTAATTTCTAGTTTAAGATATTGAATACTAGCATTATTCAAGTTGATCTTATCTGCAAGATTCTGGGATTGTTGCTAAATACAGCGCAATTACCTATCAGTTTCCTCTGGTTCTTGTAGTGATAACTGGTGCTTTATTCAGTTTTCCATAGAAGCCAGTTAGATATACAGTAGCAAGTTTCTCTAATGCTTCATCAAGACTCTTTAGAAAATGATATAGTAATAGTTATTATTTCTAGATCTTTTATATAGCTAATCCAGTCCGCATTTTTTATGACTAACTTTGGCTAGCTTTTTTCTGTATTCCCCCCTCTTCAATCATATATTGAAAAGCAGTGTTATAACAATAAAAAGTCTACTAGAATTATCTGTGATCTAGTTTTAGTCATTCGACCAATAAGTATATTGATACTTTCAATATACTGAAAGTAAGTTTGAAATTGATATAGTTTTTTTAAAAAATTTTAAAAAATAGTTTTTTAGAAAATTGATAGTCTTTTAAAATATATGAAGTTAGAAGTTATAGTGCTCTAACAATTATATTCTAGTTTTTCATTGCGACATAAACAGCTGTAACTTGGAATTATTTTGACTGAAATTTTATCGCTTGGTAATGACTGATGGATTCTCTTATTATTACGGCACTTTCCCTCGTTGCATTATCTGGGTCGATGGATTTATATGTTTTGTAGCCTGTATATAGAATCATTTAATTCTTTTCATTTATTTTCTTAATAGTATAATTGAAAAGCTTATATCCAAAATGTCTTAAATCCACGAATTGATGAAACTCAGAAATAAAAGATTTTTATTTAAAGGAAAAGTAATTTAGATCCAACTTTAGGAAGAGGTCTCATGTTTAACAAATTATATTGCCAATCTTTACACATATGTACAAAAATCATAAGCCTTTGGAAGTGCTAAAATTAAAATCATATGACCTGGATTTAAGACGTTTTGGGAATAACAAGGTATTTAATATGATTAGTATCGGGTAAATTTGAATTAATAAACTCAAATATTGAATAATTAAATGTGGATTTATTCTTATATATCTTTATTGAATGAAAATTGTGGAATTATTCGTATTTTACGATAAATAATGTTAGAAAAACAGCTTTTAAAAGTTATTCAATAATCATCGTCACTAGAAATATAGCTTTCAACAGCATTACTTGTTTTAGCTGATAAAACTTTGTACCAAAATGATATTGCAGGATGCTATTTGAAAATACCTAGCTTTTTTTAAAAGTAATTTAACATATTTCAACTTCTCGTCCTTAATTAAATGACCTAAGGCCTCTCTGTTTAGATTAAAAGAAGATCATTTCTTCCACTTTTTAAAGTGTATGAAAATATTTGTAAATATCTGACTAGCTGGACTTGCAAAACACTCTATTAAAGTTTATTTTGAATTTTATGTGTCTCCTAACCGATAGCTTCCAGTCACGATAAAACCAGTCCTCGTGGAGAACAAACATATATCCAAACTTTTCAAATATAATGCGGCAATCACTTGATAACAAAGCTTCTTCAGTTTTCTGTAATGTTTTTTTCTGTTTTGTGTAATGTAGTATTAATTGTTATGTTAAACATTTAAGCCACTTTACCGAGCATTGGAAAAACGATGTAGTTTTTGTTTTAAGCACTGCATTCACCACAAAAAAATCTTTATGGTTGGATTCAAAGAACAAAAAGCAATCAAGTTGTGATACAAAGTACTATTACTAGCGTAGTTACGTGAATTATTTATATTTTTCGCCCACTATACAGGTGTTCATAACCTTTTTCCGCGGTATGACCCGTGTGTTTCTTCTTCAACTCTAGCCATTACCATTATTCACACCAAAAAAA